TGTTCAACCTTCGTTTTTCTTGCTTCTTATTGGTAACTTTGTTGAAGGAAGGGCTGGCTTACTTACCACGTAGCTTCTTCACTACTAGCCTTGGGCAAGGCGCGCATGCGCCGTGCATCTATCGTTTCCTAGAATAGAAGAGATCGTGGTTTGAGGTACTCTAGGCCAAAACGTCCCGTCTTATGGAATATCGCCCACATTTGCAAGTGTTTCGACTGTTTCTTTAGCCGCTATATCTTGCAAGTTGGAGCTATACTCTAGTTCGCTGCGGACGGTTGGGCGTGTCAGGCAGTATGAGTGTGTCACGCCGTCAAAGCCGTTCTCTGCCTTCTTGTTGAAGCGCGCATGCGACAAAAGTGGTAGAAAACGAGTAATACGAACGATATGATACAGTCTTATCACTTGCTCGCTTTAACAACTGGTGGAGAACGGGTTTGGCACCGCGCCAAACTCATCCCGCCTGACACGCCCAACCGTCCGCAGCGAACTACACTTTAATTTTGGTGGTCTGGACTATTGTGGGATTCTCGCCTCTCAGTGTTCGAACTTGCTTGTGGAACAATTGGATAGTGTTCTATATACCTTTTTCAGATAAAAAGCTATTGTTTATCGTCAATTCACCGCGTATCATCGCCCAGAATGTATAAAAACTGACAAAAGTATTGTTAGGAACGGAAGGTGAGCTTCATTATGAGGCCTTCATATATCGGTCGAAAGTATAAATTTGAGGGGAAAGAAAATATCGATATCACCCGGCTTAAAATGTTTTCTCCCTTTGAATTTGAGTTTCTTCGCTCCATCGCCCATCGCTGCACAATCCGCCAAGCGCGATGGCGTGGAAAATTACGATTGTCTTGTCCGTCTCCCACTGAAAGCCCCCACAAAAAGGCTGTCTCGACCGTTTCACTTGCGTTGAGTGTGTGTAACCAAGGCAGAGAGATTTGGGGGGGGGGCACCAAATCTAGGGGACCATACAACGAATGAAGGCCTAGACGGTAGCTTTCGGGACGCTATATAACGTATTTGGTGAGGGGAGGGGTGGAACCGCTCGCAGCAAACTATATGTGTCCCTTTCTCTAACCAAGGCTAAGGTTTAGTGGAGAATATGTCCCCCTTGTGAGGCTATTACTGGGCGACTCGCTGAAAACCCGAGCCTTAGTGCCGACTGCTCCCCTCCTCCAACTGGCTCCACTTTCGGGGACCAGACCATATAAAAGTGGTGCTTTA